TCACGCGCACACCTGCCATTGGAATCTTCCCTTGGTGTCAGATGCCATCCACTGGGTTCTACCCCACACATGCCCGAAGGAACCTCTGCCTGGCCATTGAAGCGCCTGCCTCATAACGCTGCCATTTGAGCCCCGAGGCAGCCGCCGGGTCCATTGAGCTCCACAGCCTTCCTCTCCACCTCCGACCCGCTCCCCACACGAGGGAGGGGGCCCATTTCATGTGTGTGGACTCTGCCTTGGCACAGGGAGAAGTCACTTTGCTTCTGGGGATCTGTCCTGCCTTGTGGACTTCCCCGAGCAGCTACTGGGTGCTGGCCTCTCTGGCACTCTCCCAGAGCACACGGCTCCCTGGCCGGTCTGCCTGCCCCCATCAGGGGCATCTTCTCTTTCCTCCGTCAGCTTGCTCTTCTCCGGGGGTCCCAAGGATTTGTCTACCCAGTCTGCCCCTGTTCTGTCTTTCTCATTACTTGGCTTCTTCAGGTCTTTGCAGCCTCGTCCCTTCTCCCAGGTGAGACCTTGGTGGCGCCCACACAGCGCAGCGTGCCCTGGGTGAGTGCTCCCTGGACTCTCGCTTCCTTGCCGGGCTCTGCTCCAGTCTGTCTCCTGGGCTGACTGGTAGCTTTCTCTGGTCTGGACCTTCATCTAGCAGATCTGTAAGCCGAGACACAGAGCTCCACGCCCTGTCTCCCAAGGCCTTCTCCCTGTCTCCCGGGACTGTGAGTGGTGGGCTCCTCGTGGTGCCCCCGGCAGACGCCATGCCAGCCTTGCTGCCCCTCCTCTGGGAGGCAGCATTTGACATCTGCGTGCATTTCTCAGCATGGTCCTCGGCATCTTTGCCCAGACCCTGCCTGTGGTGGGTGAGCGTTCCTCAGGCACGTGATAGCAGAGGCGGCCCCATGAGCTCCCGCTTGGATGAAGCAGCTGCTTTCTTCAAGTTGGGGTGGGGGGGGGTGTCGCGGCGGAGTTCAGCTCCACGAATCTTGCCCACCTGCCCATCAGGAGAGCTGTCAGCATCCCATCCCCAGGGGTGTCCTCAGATGCAGGCACAGGTGTGTACCCCCTGGGTGTCCTCTCTGGGTGCAGAGGTATGATGGAGCCTCCCATCTTACTGTGGGAAATCCGGGTGCCCAGTGCTAGTCTGTTTGTTTTGTGGCCTGCCACCTTGTTGTGAGGCGGACCGTCACATTCCTCTGCCAACTTTCAGAGAGCACCCACCGAGTGTCAGGTCCTCACCGACTCCCGTTTCTGACTAGGATTCTGCTCCCTGTAGTCACCCCCCAACATCCCTGTCTTACTCTCCCAGAGCTATGAGAGCATCCTGCCAAGGTGGGGGCGAAAGCAACAGGTGTGTCTCAGCTAGGGACAAGTGGGTACTTAGATACCTTCCATGGCTGCCTGGGTGGAGTGACAGCCACTACCTGACAGTAGTGTGTGCCCCTCTCTGGCTGGCCCTCTCCCTTTATGCTCTTAGATGTTTCCCATACCATCCACCGCCCCCACCAACCCACTGTGGAGAGCTTCCCTGGGGCACGCGCCACGTGGAGTCCCTGTGCTGCCTTGTCATCTCCCCCCGGAACTGGCTGCGAGGTGGGGCTAGGTTTGGAGGGAAAGGTTTGGGAGGTCGGTAGGACCTATTTGGAATGAAAGTTGGAGGTGACACAGTAGTCGCGCCATTGAAACACACATACCAGTGATTGTGAGGGTGGCACAGGACAGGGTAGCATTTCATTCCGTTACATGTACGTCATACATAAAGGCCACCATGAGATGGTGGCAACTAACATGGTGGATGCATGGATTGTGATAAAGAGTTGTGCGAGCCCCCAATAATTTTTTTTTTTTTTAAGCGCGATTGCCTGGAATTTGGTGCTCAGAATGGGGATCCAGGACAGGAGGCAGGGTTGGAGATGAGTGGGTGTTATATTACATAGATACAGGTGATATTTAAAGCCAGGGAAGCATATCGGAAGAGAAGAAAGGGGAGCTAAGGACACTGGCCCGTGCCGGCTGGGAAGGACTGGTCAGTGCAGTAGGGGAGGCAGTGGTGGCCCTGTCAAAAGATGAGGAGAGTCTGCAATGATGTAGACATCGTTCATTAAGACCGCTTTTTTTTGGTGGGGGTGGGCGCTGTGTTAGTCTGGGTACTTTAGAGAAACAAATCCACAGAAACTCATGTATAAGAGAGAGTTTTATATAAAGGGTAAGTGCACATCAAGAAAACCTCCCAACCCAGTGCTGCCCAAGTCCAAAAGTCCAACATTAGCCCATTAACCCATCTGTCCAATGCCAATCCACTCCATCTCACAAAACAGACGCAATGATGCCGACTGCAGGAGGAAAGCCGAGTCAGTGAATGTGTAAGCATCTCAGCGCTGGCAGGGGTCTCCACATGGCTGCTCCAGCACCCAGGGCTGCATTGGGGTAGGTCCATGTGACTTCTCCTTGGGGATGTCTTGCAGGAAGTCAGCCTTGCCAGCTGAAGCAGGGAACTGCTAAGGCACAATACACTAACTCAGGCGCGGTCTGGGTTGCAACAGAATAGGACAGAAGTTGGAGAGAGAATCTGGAGATTTTGATTTTGCTCCACCCCTGCACTCACTCCTGGGAGACATTGGAGCTGTTTCCTACTAATGGGACTGGTCCAGTCAAGGGGGAGAAGATACTGCTCAGAGCAGAGGAGGATTGCAGGCGAGAGGAGCTCTGTGGACAGAGGAAGGTGGTCCGTGGCCCTGGAAGGGCGGAGCGAGTGTCGTGGAGATGCGGCAGTGGAGGACGTGGTGGGGGCAAGTTTGGCACTCTTCGTATATATTTACTCTTAGAAGACAAAGCTGGCCGGCTGATCCTGACGCATGGCAAGCCCATGTTAGAGGACAGGACTGAGCTCCAGGGCTCTTTGCTGTCACGCTGATGGAAGCCGACTGCTAAGGACTTTCTTTTGCAGGGAGCTGGGTGGGTTCAGACTACCAGCCTTTTGGTTACCAACTGAGCCCGAACTAGTTGTGTGTGTGTATGTGTGTGTGTGTGTGTGTGTGTTGGAGGGGGAGGAGTAAAGGTTTACAGAGAAAATCAGTTTTCCATTCAACAGTTTGTGCACATTTTGTTTCATACCATTGCTGTAACCCCTCAGTGTGACGTCACCTACCCTCCTCCTCCCTGTGTTGCCTGTTTCTGGGCCTCGTGCCTTCCTAACTTTCTGAGCATTGACCTTGGGTGGATGCTGCCCCCTAGGTGTACGGCCCTCCCTAGAGTGGTTGTTCTCCTTGTAGCCCTCTCTACTGTTGACTGAAAAGTGAGCCACACAGATGAGCGCAGTTCCAGACCTGATGGGAGACTGAGGGCCAGTCTTGGCCGTAGTCAAATCAGCTTCTATCCACCCAGGAAGCTCGGTCTTTTTTATGATTTTGAGTTTGTTGGCAGTGGTAGCTGGGTGTCATCAAGTTCTTTTGGAATAGTTTTTGGTGACTTAGGTGCAGGGAGGATGTTTACATTTCAGACCATCAGCTCTGCAGCCAGCAGTTAAACCCTCCTCCATCCCTGCCTCCCTGCTCCTCTTTTCCCTGGTAGGCGCCTCACCGTTCACCGAGGCCCTCTGTCACCCTCCGAGCCCATTGCTGCTGTTTCACCCGTGACAGCCTCCACCGGCTGTGCCCTTGGCTATGCATGTCTTTGTCTTGGGTTTTATCCTTGGAATAGTGGTCCCACGACCGGTGTCCTTCTGGGGTTGACCGGCTTCGCCCAGCAGAGCACTCTCCCGGCCCGGCCCTGTCAGGTGGCGCTTCTCGGGTTCACCACTGCTTTTCGGATGCCCCGAGTCCTCCGGGGCCTCCTTTTCGTGTGGCCTAGTAGACTCCCTGTTTCCACATGGGTTTCTTCACTCTTCGTTATTCCAGATGGGGAGAGACCAATAGTTCCGACTTCAGTGACCATCCACAAGCGTTCCAATCCCAGCGGCTGCTCCCCACAGTAGGACATGGGGCCTTCCTTGTCTTTGTGGACGCTGTCACTCGGACCCACACGGCATCCCCTAGGCACTTGCTTCTCAATTGAGTACTGCTTGGCTCTTAGGAAGCAAGGCGCCAGCTTGGTTTCTGAGCCATGTCCCCTGCCCGAATGAGGTCACTCCCTCCAGGCCCCCATCCTTCTGTGGTAAGGGCTGGGCCTGGCATGTTTTCTCTCCGCACTGTCTTTCCAGCGCAGAATGGGAGAGGCGCTCCAGAGACCACGCTCCAAACCAGATTCACTGCCATGGAGTGGTAGCACAGGGGACCTTGCCCAGGGGCTGTGGAGACGTTCACAGCTTCCCAGGAGCAGAGAGAGAGAGAGACAGGCTGTAGATTCCAACTGCGTCACCCACTAAGCCGCATGTACTGGTCCATGTCCGGTTGCCCGGAGCCCGACTGGGTGGCTGGTGCTGTGTGGCATGTGCGTGGAGAACACGAGGACAGCGGAGAGCAGAGTGGCGGGTCGCTCTGTTTTAGGATCGACCTACTCTGGTGTTCAGAGCCTCCCTGGACCTGTTCTTTCTGACTAGGGTTTACCAGGTGTTGTCTATGTGCCAGACCCCTGGTCTTCCTAGGAGAGGAGAGCATGGGGCCCTGTCCCTTCCCCGGAGAAGCCCCTAGCCAGAGAGGACAACCCACTAGTAATCGTCCCCAGTGTGTGTTGTGCCTGGCGCCTGGAAGCGGGAGCATCCAGCGCTGCCACCGGGTCCTGCGGGGAAGGCACCCACAGGAGGCACCGTGGGGAAGCCCTCAAGTAGAGATGATTGACCCCGTTGGCTCCTAGGGAGTGGGGGGCAGCAGGGGGGGCTTGGCCCTTCGCTCTATCCCATGGGCTGTTGTCCCCAAGGGGTTCCACACCAATAATTCTGTTTCCCCAGGTCAATTCTAGCTTATTTGGACGGGCCTCTCCCTAATGGCCGGTGTGAGGGTGGGCAGTGCATGGTGGGGCCCGAGGTGGCGTGCAGGTGCAAGGTCACACTTGCTGTGCTTCCTCCCCAGCAATCCGAAAGTCCAGGTGGAGGCTGTTGACGGAGGAGCCCTGCAGAAGCTGCTGGTCATCTTGGCTACCGAGCAGCCTCTTGCCACAAAGAAGAAGGTGTGTTCCACCCCTGTCCACCAGCAAACCTGTGGGGCCTGAAAGAAGGGGGTCCATTTCCCCACTGCCGAGCATGTCACCCTTGAGGTGGGGCGAGGTGGAGCATGGCGAGGGAAGGTGTCTAGGGCCTGGGACCTCACATCCTGTCTTCCTGCCCTCCCCTTGCCCACGAGGTGATATGGAAGGTGTCTGAGGTCCCACTCAGCTCTCTCAGCCCTGGGTTCTGAATGGGGTGGGCCACCTGGGCTGCAGCTGTGCCCAAGGACTTTGTGTGGGGCCTGAGAGAATGGGGGAGGAGGGTGGCCTTCTAGTTGCTTGTACCAGGCCTGGGGGCTGGCCCAGCCCCCAGTGGCCCTTCACCTGGCCCCGGTCTGTGCCCCAGGTCCTGTTTGCGCTGTGCTCCTTGCTGCGGCACTTCCCCTATGCGCAGCAGCAGTTCCTGAAGCTGGGCGGGCTGCAGGTGCTGAGGAGCCTGGTGCAGGAGAAGGGCACCGAGGTGCTGGCTGTGCGTGTGGTCACCCTGCTCTACGACCTGGTCACTGAGAAGGTGAGCGGCCCGGGGCCTGCCCTCCCGACACTTTGCTTGGTTTCTGCTGCTGCCCAGGTGACAACCACCACCGTCAAGTCTCCCCTCCGACCTCTGTAACTGTTTCCAGATCAACTGTCAGGCTGAGGGCCACGGGGCTGCCCAAGAGACAGGGTTGGTGTCCCGCGGGAAGGGCTCGGAGGAGGAGGGGGAGGGGCACGGGACATAATTGAAGGCCAGAATGGCAGGCCTGGCACCTCACAGGCATAGGGAGCGGGGTTGGGGGTTCAGGCTGTAGTATGAATAGCAGAGCAGAGGGCAGGTGGGATGGAGACACCGAGCCTGGGTGCCGTTGAAGGGCTACAGGCGGCCTCAGCGTCAGGCAATGAAGGGGTTGTGGGGGACAGGGCTTGACTGGTGCTGACGCTAAAGATCTAGAAACTGGGAGGAGCCTTCTTTGGGGGGCCGGCTCCAGGCTGGGGGTTCCACATGGTTGCCCTCTAGAACCCCAGGGCTGGCAGGAGCCGCCATGCCCATCCCACTTCAGCCTTTGCCATCCTGAGAAGCGTCTTAATTAAGGAGAAGCGAGCGAAGCCAACTAGGTCTGCATTCCAGGTCCAGCTGCTGCCTGGGCCTGGCAGGCCTCCCTCCCTGCCGCACGCGCCACAGACCGCAGCCCGCTGATTGGTGGAGCTGAGTGTGGGGCTGAGGCTCCCCCTCTTGCCTACTTCCTGCCCAGAGCAGAGGCCTGTCTCTGTCTGTCATTTGCTCTCTGCCCTGCTGTCTCTCTTGATCTGTTGCTGTCTCGCTCCTGGTCCAAGCTGCCGAAGCCCTGTTCCCAGAACAGCAGGCAGCCACGTG